ACGTTGGTAAACATCGACCAGACTACACAGCGCAATAACCCAGAAGACGGATATTTTCAAAGATAGAGCCATGTGATAATTTCTATGGAAACAGATCATAAACGTAGGCCTATATAAAAAGTCTACATAAAACAAATTCCGTTATATATCAATAATTATAAATATGGCGATCGTGCGAAACGTTAAATGTTTGGCAGTCGAAATGCTAAGTTATACCTTTTACAGAAATGGTTTACCACATTGTACGCGGAACTTCGTCGTAATATCATCACACAGAGAAGTTTCACGAGTTCTGTCAAGAACTGTTATACATTTTCATGCCAGTTTTGCTGGCATCTAACTCAACAGTCACCCTCTTTACGTTTACAAAGAACAGAATCGGTTTTATCGGGAACTGTACGTTCTACCTCAATAAAGTTTTATGGAGCGGAGAACAATATTCCGTGTAACTATCGAAAATTGGAAATCCCCTCCCACACTGGATCATAAGGATCTCCATAAACAAACGACTGCATATAAGCCTTGCTCGCTCTCAGTCAAAACCTATCTGTAATGTTAATAAAACGGGTCCACCGGTTCCTTTCTGAGTTGTGTGCTCAGGGCTTCACAAAAGACGCAATAACCCTGTTCATAATACTGCAAGCAGACCCATTCCTCGAAGGCAAACAATTGTTTTTACTGTAAGGGGATTCACATTCACTTCCAGGTCTGTTAGCCCGTTTGCGTAAATAATAATTTTACTATCTGTAATATTACGTGATTATAATATAATGGACTTGAGGCAACGTAAAATGAACTCAGAGAAATTTAATATCGCCACAGAAAATCTTGATGAACTTTAAACCAAATTTGAATCATCATCATCTATGGTGCTTCGGCCCACGACCTCCCCACTTACGAGATTTCTTGGTCTTTTGAAGTGTACATTTGTGACCAGCCAACTGACTTAACAATTTCTACTCAATCCCGATTTGACTTCCAGAGCCATCTAGCAGTAAACAACCAAATTAGAATAGTAACGTAGATCTGGAAAGATTATTATTATTATTATTATCATTAACTTCAAAATTGATCGTACCGTGTGCTTTAAAAAACAAAAGATCAACTTACGTAAAACAATTTTGAGACCTGAAGATGGCTGATTTCTGCGATGTGGTCGATAGTACCTCCGTTATCATGACGATGACTAACTTTGGAGGCAGTAAGCTCCTCTGAAACGTCGGTCAATTTCTACCAGAAACGTCTCTGACAACCTGATCCTTATCGAGACACCACGCAGTTTCCAGAGAAGCTGATTTTATGGCGAGGGAACAGCATTTCATTGACAAAGGACTGGGCCATGGAGATCCTTCGGGAGTGGGTCTGCTTAAGAGCAGTTGCTACCAACGCTCGAACACTTGATTCTTTATTGTTTTCCGACTTCTTTCCAGTCTCCCTCTTCAGAGTTGAGTACGTGAACACACAATGGCGCCTGCGTAGAACTGTGCACCCAGTAAGCTAAACTACACACTTGGGCGCATGCCCCCTGGGCCAATCCCACCCACACAGGGGCGCAAATGAACGCGCCCCGTCCATCCACATGTTCCATACCCAAAATTTCTCAGCGGATGTTGAAGACGCTTAGTAATTCCGGTATGGATCACGTTTAAGTATTCACGTGAATTTAATTTTGGCCCAGATCGGTTAATCGCGACTTCTGTTATTATCTGACACACTGTACAACCATTCTAAAAAAATAATATACACAGTAAAATGCCCAGGAACTTTTAAAAAGAAATATTAGGCCTACATTTAATAAAATAAATTAGGGTATATTGCATTTTACTCTACGACAGACTTTGCCTACGAATATCACATGTAATATATACAGGGCGTTCCATTTAAAACGCAACCCTAACTACTGAACCCCTTCACGCACAAGACGAAGAAACAAACGGAGATAATGAACTCTTGTAGTCGTATCCCGTTGTTGCAATGAATGCGGCCTAAAATTCAGCTGTTTTGTCGCTAAACGAGCACTCGTCACAGACAAACGTTTCCTGTGTCCCGAAATATTGTTTCCAGTCGCTGTGTTGTCTGATTCAGTACTCCACTGTCACGATACGGACTACTTTTTGTTTCACGAATAGCAGCTAACGATTCCTTATCAGTTTCGGAAGTCTGTCTCTTTGGATTCCATCAATATATCGAAAACATTTCGTTTTATATTTAAAACAAAATTCTATTCAAGTTGTATTTATAGTTATTTCAATGTCTTCATTCCTTCTACATGTATATTTACTGTTGTTTTCACATTTTGAATTTCAGAGGGCGTAATTCCGGTTTCAATTTTTGATTTCATTGTAAAGTCTCACTCTCGTGCCAAAGACGCTTCTGTAAGACTTATTCTAGCGCGATGTTTGGTGTTCTTCATGTTCTGTCGTGAGAGATAAACATTTATATAGGCCAGTCCATGTATGCGTCTCTAATTTTTCCTACGTAAGGGGGGGCAACGATGACCTCTGATCACATTAGTGCAATAACAGGCCACTTAAATGCGGAGTAAAGAACGCCTTTGGATTGTTACACTGGGTACAGTTAGGAGAATAAGCTGAATTTTAAATAATCAATGAATTGGATTCAATTGGTTCAGGATTGGGTCAAATTGCAGGCTGTTACGAGTAATGTAAAGAATTTAGGATTTCCGTAAGAGAAAACCAATTTCGTGACAAGCTCAACGACTGTCAGTTTCTCAAAAGAAGGAATAAGTTACATGGTGTTCAAGTCGAAATAGAAATTTTTGGAAAATACGCAATATACATAACTTAATGTGTTTATTACTTAGTAACTTATGATATGGCTATAATGTAATATTTAATTCAAAAGCGAGTACTGAATTCGTAACTCAAGACAATATTCGACACTGTTCCTCACCGTCAGGAGCTTGAGTCCCCATGGTTCGCACACCGAATAAACAAGTCTTCCAGGATCTGCTTCCTTAGTCCTCGCCCTGAAGCGAGAAAGAATTAAGACTTCAAGACTCATGATAGCGGTTCCTGCACAAAACAGGAGAATTAAGTTGCGAATTGCTCAAATAAGGACGCAGTAGTCAGCTGAGACAATGATTATGGGAGATGACATTTCTTTTGATGATGGGACCGCATTTGAGTCTCTGGACGAGCCAAAGGGATACCTACCAATGAAGATAAACCGGCAACTGGGGGAATCCCAAACATCTGCAAGAATTGGTTCCACATCATACGTATCGTACACGGCCTGAAGCATGATAGGGCGGTCTTCATGGCGCAGAGAGACAATGCCCTGCGAAAAGAAGAAACTCAAAGTAATTTATGTTAATGGCATTGCCTGCAGATGGCTACTAACCGAGAATTACAGAAATGGATTATGATTCTGGCACTGAAGATGGAGACAGTATGTTTCTCCGAAACGTTGTCCATCTACCTAACAACTCCAAAGCCTAGAAGACCAATGACATCAGTAAAAACGTGACTGTCTTCTAGGTCAGTGGTATTCAACCTGGGG